ACCAAGTTGAAATCGGTGGCAATGCTTTGCCCCCCCCCCAAAAAAAAAACGCAAGGTGAAAGAGAAGCTGATGTAAAGTATTTCAGTTGGGATCGTTCTCACAAAACCTTTTTGAAGATCCATTAAATGCCTCCATCTCTGTCTTGAAAAGCTGCTATGTTCCCTTGCATTTTGAGATTGCTATGAGTGCCTGTAAGATGTTTCCGTTGGTGTATACATTTGGTGAAAACATTAAAAGCTTGTCCTCAAGTACTACTTGCCAATTCCTGTCCATAGTTAAGCCAGACTGCATGTCCCATCCTTCTTGTCACGCTCATCCACAAAAATCAGCTACTCTTAATCTTCATTTATGCAGTTGCAGACACTCATTTAGATAAGCTTGCAGTTAATATGCGTAGCTCATATCACTTGTAGGCGTTGTGGCAATTTTGAACAGACGACTTGCTATCTGTTGGTGGCCTTCATATCTTCCATTTGAAGCAGCCCTCAGAGATGGTGCATCATCTTCTGTTAGGCTCAAGTCAAGAATCCTTTGCTGTGGAATTAATTTATGCATGCTGTCATTAATAGAGACTGAACTTAAATGACAATAACTAAAATTGTACTCTTGGTGATATTTGCTAAGGTTTTTCTGCTGATGTTTCACAGGCTGTGTGGTCATATATTTCACCACAGTTTATGAGATTGGACAGTATTGAAACAGAATATACCCCTAAGTGTATTCTTGATAGCTTATTTGCAAGCGTTTGGAGAGAGACATTTGTAATATGTGCTGATGGTGTCACTGGCTGTTTTGAAAGAGAACAGAAAGAATGATGAGAAGAACATTTCTTTCCTTTGTTCACTGCAGCCATATATTTGTGGGCTTTTTATTTTGTTTTCTCTCTAACAAAGACCCAAAGAAATAATCTTCGATCAGTTTTAATTTAATTCTAGTAGCTCAGACACTTGTGTCTTAGTACACCAAGCCACGTCAGTCCATGGTGCTGGAGTGAATTTGCCAGTGGGGTTAAATTCCAAAATAAAAATAATTATTTTATTAGGAGGAAAGCCTTGTGTTAATAAAATATATAGCCTTTGGTGTTGCACCAGGTTGAATCAAGCGTTCTCTTATCTACATTCACCAGACTTTCCTTACTAGAAAGCAAAGGAAGAGGCTGTAGGGAAAATACATGAGGATGGTAAAAGAGAACACTTCTAAGCTTTTCTTTAACACTTTTAAAGAGGGGAACAGGCTAAAGGCTGGCTTGATGTCTTTGCCTAGGCAATTATCTGACCCTAGTCTTTCATCCAGCTACCATGCAGGGCTGAAGTTCAGGATCCAAATAACTGTTTTGGCCCATGGAAATTGTTAAAGGTGTTAGTATTATATATGTGTGGGTACACACCTCTGTGGTGCACATAGTTCAATACATAGCTCTTTCTGGACCAATGTGTTCCCTATAAAAGCGGTCCTGTGAGGTAGTTTAGACAGAGAACCTGCAGCTGTCCCAAAGTCGTCCAGCCAGCATACGTGACTAAGGCTAGCTTTACATCTGGATCTCCCCATTCATAACGGAACTGCACTACACTTTCCATTAACCCCACCCAAAAAAGCAATTTGCTATTGGCTTTATTTTTTCTTAAGATAAGAGTACAGGAGAGAAAACAACAACAAATCTAGTGGATCAGAGCAGTAACTTCAGTCCATAGCATTAAGCTGCAAAGGCAGGAAAGGAGTTTTCTGGAAGATAGTCAGAAACTTTGGGAGAATTTGTCCTCTGTTCTCATGGGGTATGGAAACAAGCCTCCTTGCTAGATCTCCTAGAAGACATCCAGTAAGTACCTTAGATAGGCAACATGACCTCCACAGAATCTCCTAAGTGCTTTCATTTTATTTAAGCAAGATTCTCTTTAGCCCCCAGGATGCAGAGATATTCTTAGCAAGTGAAGGTGTCAAGCAGCTAGAGGCAATCCTGCCACATTTTTCACCAGGTGCAGAGGTCTGTAGAGAATAAGGGGAGGTTTTAAGGAGGCAGGACAGTCAAAAAGGTTAAGGGGGCCACAGCCATGTGATCAGAGTCCTGCCCCTTTTAATGTGTGACACCATCTTGACTTTTTTGATCCCCTCCCTGAGGACACCCCTGTAGGGAGGCCTGTGAGGTTACTCAGTGGGAAACAGCAGCTTGTATTCATGGAAATGTATTTTGAGAAATGTGGTTTCAGGGGTGGTTCCTGAAGGAGAAATTTGTTATTGCCTTTATTGGGTCTTATTTTCTGGGAGCATGAACTGGAAAATACTGGATTTAAGGGGAGAGATTCTGGATTGTGGATAATTTTTATTGTTTTATTTACAAAATTTATAAGGCCACCCAACTCATAATTTATGACTCTGGGCAGCGGGCATCAATAAAATCAAAAGCAATCAAAATTGAGCAAAAAAATAATATAAAACTCAATTAACAGACCACAATAATACGCATACACATAGAGAGAACTGAGGCAGGGAATAATTTCCAAGTGAGCCATTTCAAAAAGAGCTTCCCAAATGTCAGACCACATACTTAACCCCACAAGTAACACACTGGAAGAACATAACAGTATATGAATCCCTCTTCTTTTAAGATCTGTTCTGGCTACTTGTCCAAGGATGCTGCAGAGAATTAAGTTTAATCATCCTTTTTATTTATTTAAAGGCAGATGGGGCTGGTGATGTCCTGGCTGCTTTGTTATTGACCCTTTAAGGCAAAGAATATGGTCTCTCTCTGTCAGCTTTGTACATTCTAGAGTTTGTAATTCCAATCATCATCAGCTTGGGGAAAACTGTCCTTATTTGCACTTAGGTATACAGTTTTTTATTCCCCAACCGGTGGTTCTTTTGTGTGTCCAAAATGGTACCACCTTCCTATGGGAGGCAGCTTTTGACAAGCTTGAGGGAATCTAAGCACACCAAGTGTCCAGCATTTCTTTGGAAGGCAAACTCCTGGGCTGAGGAAAACCTCTTCCCTCAAAAGAACTACCCAGGGCATTGAAGAATGACCACCCTTAATAGGGTTTAGGATGTGAAGTAGTTCTAGGGCGGAAAGTGAATATTCTAGAAATGAGCCAGCTATGGACAGGAGGGTGCACCAGGCTGCAAGAGTTAGTTGTAAATCACATTTTTAATATTTAATGTCAGTAACAGTAATAGCGCCTCAGTAAACCAGTATGAGCAAGGAGTTGTCTCCTTCATCCAAATGGATGTCGGTAAGATCAATATTTTTTGATAAAATTGGGTATGGCAGGCTTATGTACTGTCAAATCTCATTTTACAGACCTTGGATATAATGGACAAAACCTGAATTCAAATTAATTTGTCAAACAACAGATTAGTATGTTGTTTGGCAAATCAGTCCAGACAATGTTCATACAGCTTATGTAAATTAAGATAGTACATTGCATTAAATGTATATGGACTTGCATCTTTAATGGACTCCCTTTCCCCTAGTTGGCTAGTAAAATAGGGATTCTACAAGGAATACACTGTAAATCCAAACAATTTTACAAACCATTGTGTTCCTTTCTGTTACCCTCTTGTCTTGTGTTAGACAATAATGTGCATTGTAATGTTTTTAATTATTTGGTGCTGATACCTAACGCACCATCTTTCTCCCCCTTCAGTAAATTTTTGACTAGAGTATAAAAACTGCTTGAAATGCAAGGTAGCCATTGTTTGAATTTCCCCCCCAGCAGTGGAGAGCTTTCATGTCTGGGCTGACCGGGTGCTGATTACATCATTTGGGCTTTGACCTGCATGTGCGCAAGCGCACCAGCTCAGCGTCCTTCTGGGTTGCTTTTATCAGCCCCTCTGTCTCCACTGTTACTGCTGTGAAAATCCCTTGTCAGCTTCAGCTTGAGAGTAAAAAGTCTCCTCTGAATTACAAGGGGAATGCCTTGACAACTATTACTTTTTAAAAATTAAAATACTGTGTGTTCCAGCACCTATGTGCTACCAATCTTTTTTATTTTCAATTTCCTGCAACAGCAACTGTCTTGGCCAAGTGAGTGCGGCTGAGATCAGAAAGTGCAGTCTTGTCTTAGAACTAGGAAGATGTGGAAAGCTACTTCATTGGAAGAGGGGATTTGGGTACTCTCCACTAAATCTTTTTAATAAAATATAAGCGTGCACTCAAATACCAGCTCTCGTTTTGAACAAGAAAAGAAGTAACCTCACTGGAGTAATACAGCTTCAGCAGTTATTGTGTGTTTTGTATGAGCATAGGATGATGTGTAATTACCACAAATCGGAGCAATAGCTAAATTCATATGGCACACAGAACCACAAATTAGCCTGTAACGTTTTAGCCTGGGATGTTTTACAAACGCAGAATTTGTGTGATTATGCTACAGTTCAGTGTGTTGTGCCAAGTGCAAAAAATGAGGGTGAGTTTTCAGTGTTAACTATGGCTGAGCTTACAGGGTAAACACTGCTAGTGCCTCCAGTTGTTTTGGACTGCAATTCTCATAAGCCCCAGCCAGCTATCAAGTAGCACACCTACACGTAGCAGTTGCAGGTATTCATGTAGTTTCATTCACTGAAGCCATCTGCAACTTGAGAGCACCCCTGGAGGCATCTGGCTGGCCACTGTGATGGACTCGGAACTGAGAGGGGGCTTGGCCTGATCCAGCATGGCTGTTCTAAGGCTTTGAGAGCCAGCGCGGCATTCTGAGTAAGGCGCTGGAGTCCATTCTCTGTTCACTGGTGCTCTTGCCCAGCCCAGCCTACACCACAAGG